ATAACGATAATAATAATAATAATAGGGAAAATGAGCCTGACATGTTGCATCTAAAATAATAATTTCTTTTTTTCTGTATTAAAAGAACGATCCCTCCGACAGCAGTATATTGTCACTAGATTCTGTTATTAGTGATGTTTTATTTTCCACTATAATAAAACATAATCATACATAAAATGAGAAAAAACTGATAAAGGTGCAAATTAATAAAAAATGTATACTGTACATCTTGAAAATTTGCAATATAAATTAACTGACTTTTTAAATAAGTTTCCTTTGGGAAAGTTTTGAGTTATCAGAATCTCCTCCAATAACCTTTTCTTGAAATTGAGCCTCTAAATGTTCCTCAAGGACCCTCCAACGTGAACAAAGTTGCTTGAATGAGCCCATGATGACTGCTTAGTAATGGTTTATATCACTTTATATCACTTTTAACAGGAAGAAACCTCCAAAATAACCAGGCTCAGAGAAGGGTGGCCATCAACCGATGAGAATGGAAATATACAGAAGTGCAAATTGAGTCGTTTAAAATGGTGTACGTTCACCCGATAATAGTTCATTATGGCACTTGAACAGTGCTGTGTCAGTACTGAAGCTTGCATAGGTTTGTTTAATGTAGCGGCTCATGAGTAAAAGGAGGAGCAGGAAAGGTGCAGACAGAGAGGAGGCCAAAGTTTGATAGCCTGATCCTTTGCCAGGACAAAGACAAATGGTCTTAAAGTGGCGACAACACTGTTCATGTGTGTGTGTGTGTGTGTGTGTGTGTGTGTGTGTGTGTGTGTGTGTGTGTGTGTGTGTGTCACCCATACATGGCCCCAGACAGGCCTTTATCAAAGTGGGTACACGGGTGGCGACACACAGCAGCTGGCAGAAGGACATGACACAGGAGTCAGTTTAGGGAGGCGACAGGAATTCAGTGACCTACAGAGGAATGCCGGTCGGACAGTCACAACACTAATCAGGCTGGTGATGTGTGTGTGTGCTGACTGGTTAAACTGGGGAAAGGTTTCATATGCTGGCTTTGTTCCCTCTAAACAGCACAGAAAAAAAGTGGCCAACCACGCACACATAAACACACACAGAGCCCAAACATCTTTTTACTCCCCTTAAAGAGCCTGAAGGTCAACGAAAAATGCTTATCTGTATTTTTCATAACATCGCCTTTTCGCCTACTTCTTTCTTCCAGATGGTGTTGCTGGCGCGCTGCGAGGGCCACTGCAGCCACACGACCCGCTCCGACCCCCTCATCTCATTCAGCTCAGTGCTCAAACAGCCCTTCAAGAGCACCTGCTCCTGCTGCCGGCCGCACACCTCCAAGCTGAAGGCGGTGAGGCTGCGCTGCACTGGCGGGACTCGCATTACGGCCACTTACAGATACATCCTCGCCTGCAACTGCGAGGAGTGCAGCTGAGCAGACAGCAGTACCCTCCCAGACCCTCAAGACTCTCAAGAGCCGGCAGTTTTCTTGGCCACAGACCTTCCTCTCAAGCTGTCCAAAGCATTTTGGTTGATTATTGGATCAGAAAACGGCCCCAGAGATACTGGTTGTTAACTTGTGAGTGATAGTTTGGAGCAGTCAGATCAGCCTCACGTGGGCCTTAAAATTGACCTACAGCCCTTGGGACTCAGACAGAACATACTATACCCTTTCTATTATGTGCATTCAATCAGTACAAACAATGCAAAGCATATTTCTTCAGCTCACAAGGCCAGACACCACAAACTGCAGCTCCCAGGAGCCCGCTGGAGACCCTCCTCGCTGCAGAGACACACTGCACTCATTATAAGCCTCCGTAATTCATAACACACACGCTCAAGAACCACAGAATGAGAGCTCATTGCAAATATCTGTAACAGCCTTCTCCCTGCTCCATAAAAAAAGGGGAAAAAAAAAAAAAGAAGCGTTTGACGACTAAACAAAATGCCTCGTTAAAAAGCAGCATGGGAAAGGACAAGCGGGTCCGCGTGAGCCCTGACATGTGCTGGATCTACAGTGGAGCACCTGCGCCGTGCTTACTCACCCAGTAACATTTTACACACTCCCTGCAGACTTTCATCTAGCTGTGTAAAACATGACTGATGCTGACAGGAGAGCTCATCGAATGAACAGTAGAAAAAAAAAAAGAAGAAAAAAAAGAGTAGCGTAAGAGGAGCCCAGAGGATGCAAGAAGACCACTGATGAAGGTTTTAGCAGCCTCTGGGTCAGCGGCGTGGACTGTCAATAGACTGCCAAGGGTATCAGTGCTCATTTAAAGTATAACCTGTTCTACTTGGATCTTTGTGATGTTCATGTTGACGTTATTGTAACTGCCGCTACTATCACGCCGGATTGATTAAACTTGCCGCTATTGCCTGTAACGTATTGTTAGTAATGACATGTCCTGTGTCCAACATGATGAATACAGAACTTCACACTCACTATTCATACTCTGTGTGTGCATTTGTGTATGCGTGTGTGTGCCGCAGGCTCATTTGCAAAACTTGTGGTCACTTTATTTGAATTGGAAAAACTGTGTTCAAATTGAGCTTTTTCCATCATTAAGGCTTCAGTTTTTTTTCAAACCACAAAGAATTGAGAGCTCACTTTTAGGATTTGAGCTGAAATAATGGGTGGTTGAAAGCAAAGAAAGGCCATGGTAGCTTGAATTTTAAATGCTTCTTTCTAAATGCACAGCAGTTATCTTCACTGCTTTGGAGTATGCTAATTTATGTCATACATGTTAATTTAAATCCTGTGTGTCTGGCATATACAGCAGGACGTCCTTTCTTTCTTCTTGTTTTGGCTGCTCCCTTTAGAGGGTCACTCCAGCACATCATCTGCCTTCATTCTAGCCCCGCATCCTCCTCTGTCACACCAACCCTCTGCATGTCCTCCTTCTTTACGACCATCTTCTCCATCTTCAACATCCTTTGTCCAATATAAAGTATCTACCATCCCTTCTCTGCACATGTCCAAACCATTTCAATCTCACCCGTCTAACTCTGCCTCCTGAGTTGTCCCTCCGATGTACTCATTTCTAATCTTGTCTATCTTGATCATTCCTAATAACAATCATAACATCTTCACCTGCTCCACCTGCAACTGTGGCTATCCAAAATCCAAATCTCCAAATCATACATCATAGCAGGTCTCATTACAATCTTGTAAACCTTCCTTTTCACTCTTGCTGCTATGCTTCTGTCACATATCACCCCTGACACTCGTCTACACCCACTCCGCCCTGCCTGCACTCTCTTCTTCACCTCGCCGCTACTTCTTGTAGCTTCACCGTTACTCTCGTCTCCCTCTCATTCACACACATGTATTCTGTCTCGACTTCTTTTCTCTTTGCTGCATACCTCCACCCCTCCAGGCTCTCTTCCACTGGCTCCCTGCTCTCACCACAGATCACGATGCTGTCTGCAAACGTCATAGTCAGAGAAGGCTTCTGTCCGCCTCTCCATCACCACTGCAAATAAGAAGGGTCTCAGAGCCAATCATTTATGTAATCCCACCCAACCTTGAACTACACCTTAAAGACACACTCTGCAAACATGACCACAGTCTCACTGTCCTTGTACATATATTTCACTACCCTCACATACATGTCTGCTACTCAGAGATAGTTGGTAGCACTCTCAAAATGTCTGGTCACTAGGGAAAAAGTGATTTCCCGACTGGTTGAGGAGCAGCTGCTGATTGTTGCTGGGTGAAACTGATCGAAGAGGGTGTTGCTCCAAAAACCTCTGTGTGATCACTTTGGTCACTGGCAAAAGTTTGCAAGTGTCTGCAAACAAACACTCTTCCATACAAACTAAAGGTGACTGTAGCCATCTGCTTGCAGCCACAGCAATCACAATGAGGTTTTCAGTGCAGCACCGTATGACCAGCTTCACCTAGCAACTCCTGCAGCCATGAGCTACCTGGACTTACCTTGGGGTCACTGACTGTTTTAAGCCCTGCATGAACGATCATCAGCAATCATTTTCACAGTGACTGCCAGCAACCACATGCAACCAGTCTGGGAGTACTTATTCTTCCCCAGTGACTGGCGGCCATCCCATCTGCAGGCCTGTGTGACTGGTGCCTTAACAGATCACTTATCAGTTTGTGCAGTTCACTGCAGAACGACTAAAATGGGTAAAAAATAAAAGCCAGTCTTAGGAAATGGAATAGTTGTTTGATGTTCTGCTATTAATTAAACCTCTACATGTCATTAAATGTCTTATCAGAAAATTTAACACTTCAAAAATAAGAGAGACAAACTTAATGCGGGATAAATAATACGTTTTGTGTGAATTTCTTTCACTTAAAATGAGAAGGAAACTGAAGCAAGTACAAGTTTTATTATGATTTTTTTTTTTTACTGAGACACAAAGGAGCAGATGTCTTCTCAAAAACATCCACACAGCCAGAAGTCCCTTTTGCAAACACATCTAATCCACTAAGATGGAAGTGGTGGAGTTTAATACAGACACTGGAAGCTAGTCACCTAGAGGTGATGTAGATATCTGTGGGGATTTTTGCCTCTTAATAGATTTCCTTATTTACCCCATGCAAATCCGTCTGCTGAGAACAATATGAGGAAACTGATCTGACTTCTTGTTCTGTCAGCTCTAATCTAAGTCACATAAACCCAGACAGAGAGGTGACTGCTGATCCTATGGTCACTGGAATCCCACTTTGTAAGCTAAAACATTTCAGTGCAGTCAGTGGTAGCTTAGCAATGACATGTGCTGCTTGTAATATGAACTTCATCCAGCCCTGAAACAGCTGGAGAAGAGAAGCTGATCTTAAAGGGAAATTAAAAACAGTAACAGTGGATTATATGTGTGCATCATCCTTTGTGCATCCCTAGTGCTCATAGCAGACATTCAAATCCAGAGCAGGAACCATAAAAGTCAGCTGCGTGCAGATGAATTAATAGAACTGAAAAAAGAAATGAAATACAAAAAAGCTTTAGGATTGTGACTGCAGGTATTTAATGGTTTGCTTCTATACAGTTTTGCATCATAGCGCATAGAGAAGACAAATATGAAGTAACCAACGGGTAGATCCGTTTCTGATTTAGGTTTTGATCAAATTGCCAACATATACATTTTGATGAAACTCAGATTGCTCCTTCCCAGGTTGTGGCACAACAAAGCTAAAGAAAAAGAAAACACATGCAAACGAAATGCAAACGATGAAAAACTGAAGGATGGATCCTTTCCCTCACACACCCAAAGCCCACTGTGTGGATTCACCGAGTATCCTGTAAGATTCTTTTTCAGAGAAGTGTGACAGCCTGGAACACAGAGCTCTGACACTTACAAAGTGTATGTGTTTTTTTCTGCTTGCAGTATCCACTCCCTGCACACATGTGTTCGCTGTTTTCAGACCTGTACCCTGTGAAACAGCACAACACGCTGCTCTCTGAGCACTTCAGTGCCAACAACAACTGACAGCACGGCCGGCTGCTTCACACGTGAACCTCATAAAAATGGCTTTACCTTCCACTCCGGAGATTAATCTGCCTTTCTCTGCTGTCTCCTCTCACTGTGGCTCACCTTTTCTCAAAAGCGCCGGTGGTGAGGAGGCACGAGTAGGTGTAATTAACAGGAGAACTGGTGTGACAGAATGAGAGAAGGTTCAAGGCTGATGCTAACAGCTCTCTTTTCAGGCTGTCCCAGCAGAACAAAATAGGATCGGGGAGACTGTTGTTGGCCGGGTCCAGGCCTTCTAATTAAAGCAGCAGAAACATCATTCATCAGGTCCACTTTCTTCATTTCCAGGTGTAAGGCAGCCTGGCAGGCAGATGTGGTCATTATATAACTCTTCACATCAGCAGACATCACACATTTATTCAGTCTCGAGCCTAATCATAACCACTCAGGCGTTTGATAAAAAATCGTAGAAAAGAAGCATTTCATTTGGACTCGTTTAAAAAAAATCACCTCTGTATGTTTAGCTTTCCATCATAATGCCAGACGTGAAGCGTGGACAACAGCCATGTGCTGGAGGGTTCACAATGTGACCATTCACTGCTTGAGGTTTGCGAGCGTGCTGTCAGCACTTACTTTACTAAGGAAATATGAATACAATGGCAGTGTAGGGTGTAGGATCACAGTGTTTCAGGTCTCTCTCTGAAAGTTTCGCTTGTTGTTTCATTTCATTTTATTTTTGTGACCGGGGCTGTGCTCATTAATCAACAACACAATAAACTGTAAAGACAGAGCCAACCCTCTATAAGCTAATTCTATTGTCTCTGGCAAGCTCTTAAAAAGGCAACCTAAAATTGGCAGCACTCTTTGTGATCATATTTTCTTTAAAAAGTGTTTATGTCCTAAAGTATCCAGCAGAGTTTATCTTAACTTAATGTGAGGCTTTGGCAGTCTGCGCTTTGTGTCTAACCAGAAAGAATTTCGTCCTGAAACTTTGGAAATAGTTTGATTAATTAGGGCTGCTCAGGCATCGTTAACTTCAGCTACTCTCTCCTCACTTCGATGTGCCAGTATGGTGTTTGCTTTTAATAATAAACAGATTAACCAAATCCACAGTGCAGGAAAAGTTGTTTACTAGGATTGTAATGTAGGAAAACTGGGATGAAAAGTTAATTTCCAGTAAAATGTGTTTTTGTTTGTTTGTTTGTTTGTTTGTTTGTTTGTTTGTTTGTAAAACAAAAAAACCCTTTATATTCATATCTAAACTCACTGTGTAACCAAACACTTCACATATGTTAGGCTTTTGTGGTGTTTCATTAAGTTGCAGGGCAAATGACAGTAAGGTACGTTGCTTTTGTGTTTCAGATATGAGAAATAATACGCCTTGCTTTTATTTACAGGTCATTCTCGATAACGCCTAAAACAGAGTACAGGTGAGCTCAGATTGGTTTTAGTTCAGTTTTAGTTGACTTTCATTTTGTAATAGCCTGATGGATGGATGAAATGATGGATACTGATTTCCAAAGAATGTTACCAGAAAACCTCTAATATAAACCTGCTTACAGTCGGTCAGCAGCAGTCTTTGACATTTTAAGGCTTTGTCACCAAACTCATCTTGGACCTCTGCTGCCCTCTGCTGACAAACCACCACACTGTGCGCACCTCTGTTTCCCACTGAAGCGGCACACAGTGAACATTAAAGATTGAGGATATAGCTGGAGCTTACCCTGCACACTAAATATTACAGACATGTTTTGGAGATTAAAACACTTCATGTCATGGTAGCATTCCCACCGACTCCTTTGGTCTGTAGTTCTTTGTAGTCCCTCACCTGTCCGCCACATTCACACAGCCACCACACCATTCTCCACAAATACACATCATCATTTAATGGAACAGGAATTTTCAGTCACACTTAGGAAAATGATTTAGTGTTGTCCCCCCCCCCCAAAACATCAAAATGCCAAGGAGCCACTGACTCACCAAATTGCTTCCTTAGGAGCTGTTATAATATTAAAAAATAATTAAAAAATAAATAAATAACTCTATTCTTAGGCCAGGAGAAGTACTCAGAAGTATTACACAAATTTAACCTAACCCAGTCTTCAGATGTTTTGAGAATACAGGCACTGTTTTCATGGAATAGAGTGCCACATAATGAGGAATTATGATGATTTTAAAGAAAGAATACAGCATCACTGATACATTACAAGAACACATCAGAGAGTTACTGCTGATGCTGTATTGGACTGCATTATATTTAAAGATGCTTCTGATTACAGGAATACGGCACAACCAGACTGTGTGGGATAATGTACAGGAACATCTGTGCTGCGTATGGGAGAAGTCCCCAAGTCCTGATGGGACACACCTTGGAAGGTGGTTGAGAACAACAGGGCTAAGTTCCTGTGGGACTTCCCGTTCCAGACAGACAACCAGCTGGTGGCCAGCCAACCAGACTGGCTGACACGCAACAGAACACCGCAGTTATGATAGATGTGGCAATCCCAGTGGACAGCAACATCAGGAAGAAGGAGCATGAGAAAACAGAGAAGTACCAGGGGCTGAAAGAACATCTGGAGCAGATGTGGAAGGTAAAGTCCAAAGTGGCCCCAGTGGTAATAGGAACATTAGGAGCTGTAACCAGCAGAGTACAGGCACAACATCAGAAGAGCGCAGTCCCAGGAATAGCTAACATACAGCACGGAACCCTCAAACTCCCAGGCCTCTGTCATCGCCGTGTCTGCATCGTTTCTCTCCATTCTCTCCCCGTATCCAAAATGTACAATACATAGATTTAATATATTTAATAATTTATATTTATTCATTTAATAATTCACAATACAAAATTGAGATATTAAAGGTTTTTCAAGAGATCCCTAAAGTGAACAAAGTTGCTTGAATAACCTCAGAGTCCCTTGATGCTTGCTTAATGACAGCTTTCTCTGTTTCTCAATCATCAAGTTTTAAGTTTATGCACAAGAAAACCTTGAGCAGGTTTAGCTGAAACACAACCAAGCTATATGGCACACAGCCCAAACAGCACATGATGTGGCTGTGTGCACTCCACACAGCATGTGCAGAGATGAGTTCTTGGCTAATTGTGACAAACCAACCACAAGAAGGCAACAGAAACTAAAGAATACAACATGACGGTTGCATGCATCACCTATGATAATGCTGCTGAATCTTTTAAAGACAGAGGAAAACAAAGTCATAAAAATATAAGGCAATAGCAGTGCCCGTGAGAAGGAGATAAAATGACTATGCTGAGAGACTCCTGAGTATCCTAGATAATTAGTTTTTTTCATTCAGCAGTGATTTGGGGAATTTTTCAAAGATAGATAGATAGGAGCTGCCATAGCAAGTATAAAGCTGTTCTGTGTCTTTGTGCAGCCAGATGCATTCTTTGGATGCACCTCACGCTCTACTTAGCTTTGTGTAAAGGAAGATGACGGTTAAACTTGAAAACTCAGTGTACACACCCTGGTATTATATAATACTATGCTGATAAGAAATATGCTGATAAGCCTTTGGCCAGACAGTTACAGCACCACAGTCAGGGACATCTGTGCTTTTACAACTACTGCAAAGCATAAAGGACTAAAAAGAAGACACACAGAGCCACGGAACTGTAATGGGTTTTTAAATTTCCTAGTGAAATGTGGGTCTATAGTAAGTAATCTATACTTTCTTCTTCTTCTTCTGTTTTTTTTTTTTTTCATTCCATAAATTGTTTTCTCTAACCCTCCAAACCCACAGGGCAGCGCTTTACTATGGGTAGGCGGAGTCTGCAGGGAGTGGGCCTGCCCGGCGCTTTTTAATCCAGATGCTCTCCGCCGTGCACCCTGCGTCCGGCAACGAGCTGACACAACCAAGAGGTGAAAGAAGACACACCACCCAGCAACATGACTGCACCCAGCAACACCTACGATGTTATAGTGGTCGGCGCGGGCATATCAGGTAGGCTGCACGTCAGAAAACTTTAGTTTTGTGTTCAGGCTCCGCGGACGAGCTGAGCAAATAAACTGATTAAAGCCAAAGCTCCGAGCAGAGCTGGTAGCGGTCAGATGCGCTTTGTGGAAGGTTAACTACACAACTGTGGCCGTGAGCGAGTGTGTGAGAAGACGCGGCACATCCTGTATCCACAGCTGACTGTGTGCAGAGCTGACAATGATGGAGGTTTTTTTTTTTTATTATTCGTAGTGTTTTTCTTCTTCACGGTGTTCTTCCGTGAGGCTGCCTCCCCTCCCCTCCAGCAGCTAGTCAACCTCTGTATCACCGCAGCAACAGCAGAGCAAGTTGAGTAACAGCTAATCAACCAGCGCATACTTTGTGTTACATAAGAGGACGTGAGCTGGAGGGGTTCGCGTAAATGATTGTTGCTCGCATCCATAAGGCTGACATGTGTCTTGGCCCGTGTTGTTGGATTGTACAGATAAAAGCAGCTGGTTTGTGTTCGCTCTATGATCCAGGTGGAGACTGGCCGTGATGCTGAGGAGGAGTCCAGCAGCCATGTGAAAAATGACGCGATGTGTGGATTACAAACGTTGCATTTGACGCAATAGGTGTAATATTGCACACTTGCATTTTAAGTACAAGTTGGCAATCCCCCCCAGTAGTAATAAATAATAACAATGATAATAATGCATAGGAGGGGAGGGAAATGCACTGGGCGCCTTCTGGTACTAAACACTCCTTAGAAAACAGGCTGTGTGCTGTTCTTACCTAACAAGGGAAACCTTTACTATGAGGATAGGGAATGTTCTCAATCCTAGAATGCAAATCTTTGTACATAGTGTCATTTGGTAGTGATGTGCTGATACATCAGCTGAATATCAGTGTTGAGTCAAAAAGTGATTTTATGTCCAGTATTTCTGCTTATGTATGTATGATAAATAGTCTGCAGTCAGCAGGATTTACAAAGAGGTTATGTATAAA